GTCTGTGTGAGTTTATAGCAAAGAACCAGCTTCTTTTCTACACTTTTTATTGAAAGAGTATGGGAATAAAGGGCCAACGTTTTGAAATAAGGTGGAACCTTCCCTTTCCCCTTCCCCTCCCTCCCTCCCTCTCTTTCTGTCTCTCTTATATGCTGCCCATCTCAGCAAAGGCAACTCTAGGCGGTTTAAAATCACGCAATAAAATGCCATATAAAATATTAAAACAATAGATATTTTAAATTTAAAATTCAGTTAAAATTAAATTGACCAAGAAGGGAACAAATGTGCAAGTGGAGGAAGTTGGGTGTTATCTAATCCATTAGCAACCTCCAGAATGTCACACCCCCATAGGGCCCCCTGGCCAGTTGGCAGAGCCATGTCTTCAAAACCTTTCAAAAGATCAAAAGGGTAGGTATGTATCGCCCCTTGGGGTTCACAATATTCCAGAGGATGGGTGCCATGGCAGAAAATGGTCTGTTTTGGATCCCACCAGCTGGAATTTCTTTGGAAGCATTCGGAAGCTTCAGCTCATACAGAATGCAGCTACATGGGTTATAAACGGTGTCAGTTATTTGGCAAATATAACACTGCTGCTTTGGGAGCTGAATTGGTTGGCAGTGTGTTTCTGAGCGCAATTCAATATGCTGATTGTTACCTTTAAAGCCCTTCACGGCTCAGGACTGGCTTACCTGAGGAACCATCTTTTCCAGTTATTTCTCCTATCCAATCCAGTCTGGCAATGTCCTGTCTCAAGCCAAGCACAGACACACACACACCCAAGCGGCAACTGCAAACTTACTTATAACAATCAACAAAAAGCCAGGTGCCAACACACTTGAAGTTTCCATCAGTCTAGCAATTTGCATTAATAAAGAGTTCCAAGTCCAGGGAGTCAGGCACAAGAGTGGTCAAACGGTTCCAGAATCCAATGCACAGAAAGGGTTGTCGATCACTTGTTAAGAGAAGACTGGCAAGCAAGGCAAGGCATAGAGAATTGGAGTAATAGATGGTTGTTTCCACTACCTGTCTTAAGTCAAAGCTCCTCTTAAGTAAAAACATCCTGGTGTTTCTCATTTAGGAAGGCGGGGCTGGTTCCCTGTCATCATCAGACTCAAGATTCCAGAGCCTCCATGACAGGCATGATGGACATGCTCCGGGTCCCATAGGCCAAGGAATGATAGCTGCGGAGACCAGGAGATGTGGCTTTTCTGCATAGCGCATGCCTTCTAGAATATTCTCCCTCCTGGAATTAGGATTTCCCACCCCTGATGGTCTTTCAGAAGGCCTTGAAGACCTAGCTATGTGCCCAGGCCTGGGATTCCGAGTGTGGGAAGGACAGTTTTCTGGCTATGTTGAAGCTGACAGATTATAGTATCTCTTGGTTGCTATTTGTGTTTAAGCATTTTTGTTCTGTGTTTTAACTATTTAATTGTTTTTATGATTGTTTGCCACCCAAAGTCACTCGTTTTAGATGGGTGGCTTTACAAATCAAATCAATCAATCAATTAGTAAAGTCAACTTCAAATGGAGCCTGATAACTGCTAGCTTACACTGATGTATTTATGTAATTCAAAAATTATAAAAATCGGAAGGAAATGGAGAGGTCAAATAGGGTAACCTTCTCAGTGCAGAATCTGCTAAAATATTTTGCAGAGATGGTTATCTAATCTCTATTTAAAGATCTGCAGCAAAATGCAACATATGGCTTCACCAAGCAACCTGTCCCACCGATTGATAGCTCTTACAAGCAGGAAATGCTAACATCTAAACTGGTTCAATTTCCCTGCTGTTTCAACTCATCATTTCAGGCCCTGCCTTCTGAGCAAAATATTTGCTCCCTCCTCTATACGATAATCCTGTGGATATCTGAAGACTGCTATTATATTTCCCTTCAACATTTGCTTCTGCAGATAAACATATCAGGTTTGCTGAACCATTCTTCACAGGACAAGATTTTTAATTCTCGGTTCACCTTGTTACCCTTTCTTTGAACTTGATCCAGTTTGTCAATGTTCTTTTTAGACTGCTATGCCTAGAACTAGAAACAGTATGTCCAATGGGGCTTGACCACAAATTGATTAAACTGATCAGTCTTTTTGTAATGCATGTTATTAAAAATGTTGACTCGTACAGAAACCAGGACAAAGCACGTGGCAATCCACAGTACTACTCTTGAAGCTGATGCAAAGCCATTTATGAGTATTCTCTGGGTGTAGTCATTCAATTATGAATCCATTTAACAGTTGCATCTTCTAGTCCATATATACCATTTTACTAATGAGGGTATCATTAAGCGGAGGAAGAAGAAGAATGAGAAAGTTATGGATGAATAGAGTTGGTGAGATCTTCAAAAAGACAGAGATGAAAAATTTAAAGAACAAAAAGCAGCGTATGGAAGTGATCTATGAATGTGATGGAAGCAAGGATGGTTTGCAGGTGACAGAAGATACAAAAGGCATAATGAGCAGTGTAGGTATAAACTAGTTAGTTATATTACCTTTTCTTATCTTGTGCCTTCAAATACTTCAGTTTACTATTTCTTATTCTTTTCTGCCCCCTTGCATAACACTGCTTACCCTGAAAATGAATAGCATGATGGATAGATGTATATGTAAATTTCATTTAAAAGCCTGATTAAAATTTAAAGCTTTTTCAAGGCCAGAAATGAATTATCTGTATGATCCTTTAAAAAGGGACTATTACACAACTTAAAGATCAGAATGGAAAGAGGGCTCTTATTATTTTTTATTTATACTAAGATAAATTCAGGGGTGAAATTAAAAAATTTCCCCTACCGGTTCTGTGGGCGTGGCTTGTTGGGGGAAGGTCATGTGACTGGATGGGCGTGGCCAACTCAACATCACTCACCTCAAGGGGCTCCTCACCGGCCCCTCCCCTCCCAGCCACTCCTTGTTGCGAATGGCAGGAAAATGGGGAGGGGAATATTCCTGCCTACCATCCTTCCCTCAGTCTGTGCTGAGATTGAGGAATGGATGACAAGCAGGAAAATCCCCTTCCCCATTTTCCTGCCTTTCACAAAAATGGCTCCATTCCAGCTGCTCCCCCCATCCCCCTCCCTCCTGGGGACTACTTTAAAAGGGACAGGTAGTAGTTCCATTGTGAATAGAGGGAGAAAAGTTAGCATTGTCTCTGCTGCATTTAACATTGAATTCTGTGGCAGAGAGAATGCTAACTTTTCTCCCTCCATTCACAATGGAGCTGCTGCTCCCTTTATGGTTCCCTCCTGGCCCCCTCCCTCCTGGGGACTACCCTGAAGGGACAGGCTGCAGCAGCTCTGTTCTGAATGGAGCTGCTGCATTTAACATTGAATTCTGTGGAATATCGAGCGGCCGAAAGAGGTGAGCAGTGAGCGGCCGGGTGTGGGTGGGGGCAACAAGGGGTAATTACTACTGGTTTGGCGATCTGATGCCCATAATCCCTAGCTGTTCACCCGAGCCAGTCTGAACCGGTAGGATTTCACCCCTGCTAAGAGTTATTTTGAAGGAACGGGAAAGAAGAAGAATGTTTTTGGCAAATCAAGATGATGCCAAAATGATACACATTCAATGACATACTCACACAAATGATGCTATTATAAACTTGCATCTGAACATCTGACCCAAGAACACATGTCACAGAATTCACAATTATATCATTACACAAATATTATCACTATCCCTACTCTCATGGGTGTTTATCAACTTACGCAAGGGTGCCTAGCAACTTATAGGAGGAGGGTAAATGATGAAACATGTGTTGCAACAGAATTTCCTTTTTTTCTTGTGATGTCATAACACAAGAATGAAAGGATAGACCTGGAGCTGTGGAGTCATACTGCATGTTTTATCATTTTGGTACTGTTGTGATTAGGAACAAATATTTTTGTCCACCTATTTCTATGGAATTCTGTAACACATTTCTTTTAACTCTGTTCCAAAAAGTTTCCACATCTTCTTTTCTCGTGTTCCCTTTCCATTAACCTATTTTCTAATACATACTGTGACTTCCTAGTTTTTCTCTACATTATTTGAGTTATTTGCCTTTTTCATCTATTTTTCCAAATATCCATTCCTGATACTAGCACATAATGGTCTACCCATATTCAGAAGAATTAATCATCTTTGTATCCCTTTACTAATTCTCTCAGGCTTTTATCATAAATAATTCAATAAATTGTGCTTTTACATTTATATTCTTATTCCCCATGAATACATATGAATAGACTCATATTTAAAACTAACATGCTTTTTTAAGCAAATACTTACCAAAGAATCACCATTCTTGTTTGTTCTTGGATCTCTGAATGCTCCAATCATCATTTCCCCCTACTTTCTTGTTTTGATCCCACCCATCCATTCATATCATCCAGCAAAATATTTTTTTCCCCTAAATGACACTCATTCAGAATTCTGCACAGTGTTTCCCAAAATTCACCTGTGATTCTTCTATATCCACAGGTTGGTTACTATAATCAATCTATGAATTTTTATTTCGATATGTGCCCCATGATAATTGGGATTACATTCATACTTTCTAACAATTTTATCCTTTCATTCCTAATCAAACCTAAACCTTAGCTTTCCTGCACCTATTTATCAACTCTACTCCACAAAATCAGACCACTTTCATTCAGATATATCATGTCCTTCTGCTTTCTTTTAGTTCCACAAACATACAACTTCTCTATTTTCCTTTCATTAATCAATTAATTCATGCAATATACATTTAATTAATGCATATTGTAAGCAGTTTTACACAATATTAAACCTAGAATTATTTTTAATAATGAATATATACAATAAGTGTGCCTGAAATTTTATATTTATTGAGCTGAATGCAGTACTTAATTCTAAGCAGACACGTACTGTATATAATTTATCTGTAAAACACATTGTTTATGTACCCCAAAAAAAGACTAAGATCAAGTAAAATGTTACTAGACCAAGTACAACTATACTAAGACTTTACTAGTATTTGTCTGAACATAGAAGACGTTTTACCTTCCACATCAAGGCACCTAGGTGGACTATCTGACCAGATAAGATTATACATGCACTCAAGGAACTCTGCACCTTCTAGTTTATATCCAGGAAAACACTGAAAATATATCATTGATCCTACTGGGAAGGAAGACTCGAACTGAGATATATTAGTGAAACTATGAGGAAGCAGCAGTGGTCTCAGGCAACCTGAAAATTAAGAAGAAGGAGGTGTCTTATTATGAGATATTTATTTTTTTAAAATAGCTACTTAGCAATAAATTTAATATAGATATTCCTTCATCTGAACAGCAAATTAATACTTCGATTCATTCTTGAATTCCCTCATTCCCATATATGCTAGATCACAATTTCTAATTGTTCAGCATACACTTTGAAACAAAAGTACTAAATTCAGCATAGGATTATTTTAATATGAGATTTTCTACATTCTTTGTTCTGGTCTTTATTTTGTTTTTCATTTAGATTTCTGAGGTCTCCCAATCATCACTGAGTTTGGTGGCCTTAGAAATTTAAATTAAAAAAAAACAGAACCTATTTGGAACAATTGTTCCTTTCCTTTGAAACTGTTACGCTAATGTTTTATTTACTGTTATTAGTATTATTAAAATATAGACATAAATGGATTTTTAATCTATTTTAACTAGTTGCAATGGTTCTGATAGTCAATACAGAAGCTTTCCAGTTACTCATTACTTACAAAATTGCATAATGGGTGTTTCTAGGAGAATACATGATTATGTATTCATACAGAATACAGAAATTATGATAGCCACATATTACTATTAATGAGCAGATGGGCTGGGAAAAAATAATCCAAATCCCAGCTTACTTTATACATATTTAGATCTAGGTAAAATCTTCCCTGTCACTAAAAAACACAGTATTTATTTAACATGTTTGGATATTTTATTAAAAATATAAACAAAAATAACCTAGAGCAAAATTAGATTTGCACAACAGTGAGCAAAATGAATCAGATTTACATTGATCTTTACTTTAATTTATTAAAAGCAAGATATTTATATGTGGCCTAATTGCTCCAACGGGAAATCTCTAGTGCTATGAAAATGGAAGTTATGTGAACAGAAGACTTTCCTGGCAGACTGAGTTTATTCTTACCTTCCTTTTAGATGCTAAATAAAACTACAATAAAATATTTAAAAAATGTATGAAAGCATATTTCTGAAACAACTTTCATTATAATTGTTTTGATCAATATATTTTAATATTAAAATAATTTAATAAAAGCTTACTTAAAGAACAAATACTTCCATGTAGACACCAACAGGATGCTTAGCTCAAAGTTCTAACTTTTTCTTAAAAGGAATTCTCAAAAAAAATCTCAAAAAAAGAATTTGAGGATATTTCAAAGAGAAGTTTATGAAAAACATCTAATATGCCAGGTTGCCAGTTATGCCTTTTTCTGCTATTTTTTTTATAAGTGTTCTTTATTTTGCAAAATAAAGACTAGGAATTAATAACAGTTGTCTATCTACCATATTAACCTCTAATAGTAGAAAAAAAGTCTGTCATTCTCATGTAACTTCTCTTAACTTTTCAAGCCTTCCAGTTATTGCAGAACACCCTAGCTGGCCATTTACCATAGATGAGAATAATAGAAGCCTATTATGCTACAGCCTGTATTGAAGTCCTCCCATTTAAATGTTGTCATTTTGTGGGATTGAAGAAGCATACCTTATCTTTGGCAATTTCTGCTCTCTGGAACAGCTTTCCCCTGTGTATCAATCTCCAAGGATTCTGGCTTGGGAACAGGTTATTTGAGGGACTGTCTCTTGCCAGTCACATCCACCCAACCCATTAGAGCGGGAAGGTAAGGAATGTTGCGGGTCCCATCCCCTAAGGAGATGCATCTGGCGGGACCCAGAAGGACCTTCTCCATAGTAGTTCCCTTCCTCTGAAACATTATCCCTCCAGAAATTAGACTAGCCCCCACTTTGACACTTTTTCATAAGGCCCTAAAGATATGGCTTTGCCAGCAAGACTAGGGAATCGAGAGTGGGATGGAACCCATTAAATGGCTGGTTTGAGTGTGTGTTGTCGCCAGGGGAGGGGGAATTGTTATTTTATTGTTTTGTTGTTGTTGTTGTTCATTGTGTTTTTATCGTCTGTAAGCCTAGAGTCGCTGTGAATGAGTAGACGCCTATATAAATTCTCTAAAATAAATAAAATAAATTTTCTTAGGACTTGGCTTTGTTTCCAAGGCAGAAGTTAGGATGCCTCTGGAACCTTTTTTTTTTTTTTTTAAATATCAGGAATGTTATTTTAATCTGGGCAATCATGTTGTGTGGGTTGTGTTTTAACTTATATAATGGATATATTATAAGACAGTGATGAACTTTTTTAGCACCGATTGCCCAAACTGGAACGCGCGCCAGAGCACCAGAAACCTGAAGACCAGCTGGCCAGTGCGCATGCATGTGCCAGCCATCCAGTCTTAGCGTGCGCTGGAGCACCAGAAACCTTTCTGGTGCTCCGGCGCACACGAAGACAATCTGGCTAGTGTGCTTGTGGGCACCGGAAACCAGAAGAGCAGCTGGCGACAGTTCGCGTGCCCCAGAGAGGGCTCTGCATGCCATCTCTGGCACGCATGCCATAGGTTCGCCATCACAACTATAAGACATAGTATTTTATCAAATCAAATAAGAAAATAAATCAGTGTTGTCTTTCAATCTCTTCCTCGTGGGAATAACGAGGAAGTTAGTTGTATTTACATAGTTGTATCTACATAGTTGTATTTTTAAAATATTAAAAGTTGCTGCAGAAATAGTTTTCTCTTAATGCCACATAAAATTATTTAAGGCCATACAAAAGTGGCAGCTTACCACAATTCTAGTTGAGCAGAAGCTTTGTATTTAGTAGGAAAATTAGACAAAAGCATTCTAACTGACTGACTTACAAATGTACAATTTACTCCTCCTAAATGATAAAGATTTTTTGAATCAATCTTGACTCCTATGGACATAACCATGAATTTTTCTTGGCATCAGGACAGGCATAGCTTATTTCTAGGGTATTTTCCATAGATTCCCAGCATAGAATACAGCCCAGATATTGCCTATAATCTCTCATCCAAATATCAATAATCTCAACAAGATTAGCCACCTGTTGCCATCTGAGGAAATATTTCCTTTTAGTTACCCACTAATACTAATACTTAGTTACCCAGTAGTACTCAGATCTTGGAAATTTATGAGAAAAATATTTCTTCTTAATCCCCATTCTTTTTATGGTTTTGTATTTTAATATGGATGCATAGGGTGAATAATGAGAGACTGCAGTTTGTAGGGAATCAAATAAGGCAAACTACTTTACAGTATCTATCTGCAAGACTCTCTCATCTAATTTACAGCTTTCTTACATGAAGAGAGAATGAAAATATTTATTCTAAGTCTAGTCTATTGAAGGATCCCCATGTACTTTCCTATTTTTAAAACAAAATGCATTGATAGTTTCCTGCAAGACCATAATTTTATTCTAGTGTCAAAAGATAATGCTTCTCTCAAAAGAACAGGCTTCTAAATCAAGCTTTTACATTGATCATGATAGTGCAGCAATATCAGTCTGACTGTCCTGATATAGATTTTTTACAACTCTATACAGATACAGGTAGCCTTCAATTTAAGGCAACAATTGAGTCCCAAATTTCCATTGTTAAGCAAGATACTTGTTAAATGAATTTTGCCCCATTTTATCATTTTTCTTGCCATAATTGTTAAGTGAATCACTGCAGTTGTTAAATTAGTAACAAATTTGTTAAGTGAATCTGGCTTCCCCATTGACTGCTTGTCAGAAGGTCAAAGAACGTGATCACATGAATCTCAGATACTGCAACCATCATAAATACTTGGCAGTTGCCAAGCATCCAAATTTTTCACATGACCATGAATGGTTGTAAAACAAGGACTATCTGTAATCCTTACTTACCAACCACAATTGAAATCAAATATTCCATCACTAAGCAATGTGGTCAGAAAATGAAATTTCATGTGACCATGTCTAACTTAAGACATCAATTCAGGCTGCAGTCATGAAGCAAATCACTTGTGGTTGTTAAGCACAATATCACGTGACTATAATTTAGGATATCCTGCTAATTTTTCCATCCCCACTGACTTTGCTTATCATAAGCCAGCTGTGAAATGACAAATGGCAATCATGTGACCATGAGATACTATAATCGTCATAACTGACAAGTATCAAACAATAATGAGACCAGGGGATGTTGCAACAACTGAAAGTGTGAGAGCTAGCAGGTCTATTAAAATGGCACCTGCTTCATAAATTGTACTCTAGCAAATGGCTATTTTACAGTATCAGCAAGAACTATAGTACCTATCCACCTATCTTTTAAAACTACACATTCATCCAGAAAGCTATGGACAATGCTAAATCTTGCTAAATCTATACCACAAGATTTAGTCATAGTCAAATAATGCATTAACCACCTCTGTGTTACAACACATTTCAAAAGAAACCAGAGTTCATCAACTTCACATTTTCACCATTAAGCTACTAATATTAGAGAAGAAGGGACTCAATTATAGAAAGTGTTAGTGGACTAGAAAGGTTAACCTACATATCCACAGATTCAGCTAAAAGCATTTCTGCAATAAGTAGGGTTTTTTTTTCCTGAAACCAGAAAAAATCTAGAGAAAAAATAAACTTGTGAGGGATTTGGAAGTAAAATTGGTTAAATGGGGCAGCATCCCTGCTTTCTGATTCCCCCAGCATTTGATCCCACTTCACTTTAGTGTTCCCTACATAAAAAACAGAAAGAGATCTGAATCTTTGCTAATCTCCCAATGAAGTCTGTAATTCAGGATAAGTACAGAGTGATACATAGTAGGCAAAACATCTTAACTCCTCCAAAGTGTTGAAGATTGGCTTCAACTATTTAAGAAAGTAGTTCTTGATGGTAGATAGTTCAATGAAATAATGAAATGCACATTTAGCAGGAATCGATAAATGCTTAGATTTATTAGGGATCCCTAATAAAGAATTCCAATGGGACAGGCCCACTCTCCCTGCAATGGCAGACGGGACATACTGTAAATCCTATAAGTTAAGGAATTTTGGCTAGTGGGTTCCAGAAAATCTCTGCCATGGCTCTTGCCATTTGGAACATCTTACCCCCTTGGGGTGAGATCTCGCCCACCTTCCTGATCTTCCATAAGGGCCTGAAGACCTTGCTGTGTGCTAGTTGGTTTTGGGCCCAATGGAGGGCCCATGCTGAAGATGGTTGATGGACTAATAGCAGATCTCACCTCACCCCCTGCACACTCTCTTCTCTCCCTCCCCCTCTTTTTACCATAATTTATAATTTTATTCCTACTAGATATATGTTTGTATAGTTTTATTGCTTTTAACATTGTAAGCCTTGTGGTGAGATGGTGGCAGACAAATTTAACAGATAATTAATTAATTATTATTATTATTATTATTATTATTATTAATAATAATAATAATAATAATAATAATAGAAAAGAACTTGAAAATTAAACACACTTGAAGGCAGAACAAGAAGCAATGGATGAACACTAATAAAGGAGAGAAGCAAGATGGAATTAAGGAGAAACTTCCTTATATTTAGCACAATTAATCAGTGGAATGGCTTGCCGTCAGAAGTTGTGGGTGTTTTATGACTGGAGGTTTTTAACAAGACATTGGACAACCATTTAACTGAAATGGCATAGGGTCTCCTGTCTGTATGATGTGACTGTATTTCACAGTTGCTGTTGCATCATTGTAAAGAAAATTACAATGAGCATCACAATTTAAAAATTTTAAAAATTACAGAGAAACTACAAAATATTTTGTTTATTTAGCGTATGGCACTACAAAAGAGTTAAACATTGACACAAAAACTGGAAAAGCTGATCAATTTTCTCCATCTCAGGTAAGTCACTTGAGATATTTAAATATTGAGATACTTAACATTGTAGGGAAAAGTTACAGGGACATTATAATTATGTAACAAGATATACATTCTGTGGTAGAGACAATAAAAGTTATCCTTATGCAACTGAATCTGAAGTATACACCTAAAGTACATATAACATTTGAAATAGTTGCAGTCAAACTGCAACTTATACACCTATGATTCATGAGAAAAGAAAATTAAGAACTTCCTAATTATTCCCCACCCGAAGAATTTAAGACCTAAAACCCATTGTTTTCTGATCTTCAAACCAAATGTATTCGTCCTCCCAATCCATTAATAGCAAATCATAGAATAAAGAATATTTAACACTGGAATAAAAACAACCCCCCAATCTAAATATACCTTATTCCAAAACACAGAGAGTAAGTGGATGCTACGGTACTTGCCTAGCTAACAAGAGACACACAAATTATTGTGGCATGATATGGCATAAATGTGGTCCAGAAGAACCATCATTTTCTTTCAGACTTTAAAAATTCTATTTTACCCTGTTTGTTTTATAAGAAAGGTTCACAGTTTCTATGTATTTTACTATTTGGGTGTATTTATTAACATTATTTTTGAGGTTAATGTTTATTTCTTTCATGTATTTTTATTTTATTGCATTTGTGTTTGGTTATTTATATTGTGAGCTGTCCTTTGCTGATATGGGAATGGGCGCCACCAAAACAAAATTAAATTAAAAAGATGTTATTATTATTATGGATGTTTATTGGTTAAAAATGATAAAAGTAAGAGATGGAATTCAATAAAAAAGAGCTTATTTCCCCTGAAAAAAATAGTTTGTACTGTGCATCTTATGTGTTTGATGGACTTTCTTTCATATAACTATACAGCTGTATCTTATTCAGGATTTCCTTTTTCTGCAAATGAATGAACTGGATCAAAGGCAGAGAAATTTTGAACATGATGACTTCATGCTATATATTTCTTTTAGTGCTCATTATCTGGAAGATGTAGGATAACACCTTCAATGAAGTTTTATTTAGGGTTACGGGTGCAAGAACGATTTGTAACCCTGCTCTTAATTGTCAGAAAGTTTCTATTTGACACCAGAACCAAAGAAAATAGATAAGGTAAAATCCCTCTTCATACTGATTTTAATTACTTTTGAATTAAGTAATGAATTAGTTTTTTAATTGAAGTAAAGAATTCAATTAACATGACAACCTTAAAATACAAAATATTCAATTTTATCTCTCAACTGAAGCAAACAAGAGACTAATCATATTAAAAATGCATTTTGGCCATTTTAATTGCAAAATATCTCTAATAAAGGTAATGCTGTACTAGAAACTATAGTTAATTGTTATGTCCTTAAGATGCAAGCCTTGTGCCACTCTCCCAATCTGTCACTACTCAAAGTGTAAGATCTATAAGATAAGATGTTCTAGTGTACTAAACCTTGGCAAATGGGCAGATTATCCCATGTTCCATCATCTTGACATACTGATTCCAGGTTGTCTAAATCAGAGAAATGGATCTGGAATCCTTCATGACAGCTGATTATTAATTTATCTCCAGTTCTGTATGTCTTGTTCTGAATCTCTGCATCTTCAACAGCTGGAGCAAGGCAATCTGTAGCTTCATAAAAAAAATGTTGTATTATTATCTTAAATTTGAAAATGGTGGCTAATGTAATGCAAAAAGTTTTATATGTATGCAGGTAGTCCTCGACTTACAACAGTTCGTTTAGTGACAGTTCATTATCTATAATGATGAAATCATATACATTGTACCCAGTCACCCCAGTCAAAATGACAGCAGAATTCTGCACTAGTTGAAATTTCCTAGTAGTTATCAAGGGCAGCACCAATTAGACCATTTACAGCAATCTGTGTGGGAATAACATTTATTTACTGAATTTATGCCCCATGTTTTTTAAGTAGCTTGATGCTATAATAACCTTACAGGAGGACAATTTGTTGCATTTGCTAGGATATACAAAAAGATACTACAGTAGTAAGAATTTATGCAAAAGATACATGCTAGGAAAAGCCAATCTATGCTTGTTTTCATTTATTTATTTGGCAGATTGGTTGGTTGCTTCAGTTGTAACCAATTCTAAGATCATTGGCTCCTGTGTTATTCTTTAATAGTATTGCTTTGCTCATATGTTTTTACAGAAACATATTTTTCTATACAAGTTGCATGTTTGATATTTGTATGAGATAAAACAAAGAGGTTCCAATCAATCAGTAACTTGATTATTAATTCATTAATCTTTACAGTTACTCTGATGCATATACAGACTATTAAATAATAAAAATAATTAATGCTTGATCATTATAGCCATTCGGATAGTCAGGCAGGCTGAAAGTAATGTAAAAAACCAAATTATAGCTAAATGTTTAAAAAAGAGTAAGATTGCATTTTAAGGGATCAATGGATGATTTGTTCTCTCTCTCTCTTTATAAAAGGTCAACTATTAAAAAGAAATTAGTAGTATGTTTTCGTTAAAAAGGATTCAAATAGATTTTACTCCCTACTGAACTATCTCTGATTCAGTTTCATATTTCTCCTTATTACCTTTCTCCAATGAGTAAATAGTTGATCTTTGTGGAATAGTGTCCAACAATCTAGGAAAATTATTTAAACCAAGAAGTAATAATTTTGCCCAAAGCATTCAGTATTCTTCTCAGTTGATCGGCAATTATAAACCAGAATTATTCAGGTTTTGCATGAGGAAAATCTCTCTCCTTCTCTCTTCCCTTCCCTTCCCTCCCCCCCTCCTCTATGCATCTATGGTATCATTAAAAGGATAAGAATAAATAAATATGTATATTTGTGTACATCTGCCAAATGACAGCAGCATGCATGTTGTATTGTAAACAGAACATTCATAAACTCAATACTGATGAATGTGAGGTAGTAACAGCAAGCAAAATGATAGGTGAGTCATTTTTAAAACCCAGGAAATAATACATTTAAAGAACTAATTCAGTCTGCAAGTATGGGAGTGTGTGTTTTTAAACTCTAGCTAAAGATACTATTTTGCCCCAATCAGATTTGTATTCATAATTGTACATTACCATTTCTAGGCCTTCTGCTTGAAGAAACCAGAAAGCAAGCTTTTAGTTTATAGGTTTGCCCAGAATTTGTGCCATGATGCGGTTAAAGATTATGCAATGTGTCTAGAATAATGATTTGCAAAAAGTATTTCACATATTACAAATGTTCACACGTTACAACTTTGGAGCATCGAGGAACGATGGCACGATGAACTTCGTTAACTCTTTATCCTTGTCAGAAAAAAAGCATTCACTAAGCTCCCTCCTTTCTGCCTTGCTGAAAGAGCCTTTAGATCTTCTTTTTACAGCATTTGTATCCACATGGTGTAGGAAAGACAGAAACAGTGGCTCATATACAAGTCTGTGCTGTAAAGATCCTTTTCAAAACCCCCACTTTAATTGCTATACGAGACAGGCCTGAAAATTGTTGTATGATCTCTCTGGCCACTTTCCAGAAAAGATATTGGTCACTGCAAAATTCTGTCCATGGGTCAGCAGAATTCACCAGACAATATTTATGTTGGTAAAAAGAAGGATTCATACCTCATGTTTTTCTTAAAAATCAATGTTTGCTTTGATCAATTATCACAATAGTAAATTTGATTTGATAGAAACAGCAAATGATTATAAAAGCTAAAATATAATAAAAAACAATAAAGTTAACTAAACTTTTCATACCATTTAAGAATGAATTATATCTAGATCACACCAAGTTGATACATATATATATATATATATATACACTGCTCAAAAAAATAAAGGGAACACAAGCAGAAGACATCCAAGATCTGGATGAATGAAATAGCCTTATTAAATACTTTGTTCGTTATATACAGTAGTTTTGTGTTCCCTTTAGTTGTTTGAGCAGTGTATAAACTACTGTATGTAAAGAACAAGGTATTTAATAAGGCTATTTCATTCATTCAGATCTCGGATGTCTTCTGCTTCCCTGTCCCTTTATTTTTTTGAGCAGTATATATAACTGGGATTGAAACCTGTAACTATAAACCATATGCTGCTTCAAATAGAAGACCTAAAGCAATGCTTTTAAACGATGATGAGAACAAGTGGGAAAATTGCTATTCAAGAGGTCGATTTTTAAAGTATTCAGGCCCCAAGCCATGTGATCCTTTCAAAACTAAATAGCAGCAATTTGTATTGAGCTGAAAACAGATTTAATGTAAGTAAACTAAAATAGATATAATGTGGTCATCCAGTCTTTTGCATCAAATATCAGATTCTTTTCAAGAGAAATCTCATATAAAGTGAGATGCATCAAATCTGGAAGGAGCTATTTAAAGTTGAGTAACTGTAGAAGATGTGCCTTTGTCAGAATGGCAGCAAATAGGAAACCAGGTGAAGGTGGCAAAGAGAAAGAATACCAGAACAGAGCAACCTGAACTACTGTACAAATCTGTTATTTTAGAAATGTGACTCCTAAAAATAAATTAAACAATTCACTTACAAATGGTATTTTCATTTTATGCTTATATACTTCTGTCTCTGAGATCAGATAAAGTGAATGAAAGAGCTTGTATAATCTCTACGTTATTAATATCAGAGCCAGAATTCCCTAAAACTTCACCCAGCAATTTCATGCACATGATAAATATAGGAACTGTGGAACATTTTATTGAATAAGAGAATATAGTCCCTCCCCCACTTCCCACCCAAGTAAGCTTGTCTGTCAAGAATGAAAGAAATAACTTACACAATGCCACCACCCATCCCTCCAGCATTACAGAACTGTTGAATGTACAGAATACAACTGAAATATTTAGCAAAATCAATAGGATCCCACTCTTTCAGCTATTTCCAAAGACAAGTTATACACGATAAGCTTCAAGGCAATTTCTCTGTTAATCCAGAGCAAGAAAAAATCTTATTCTATATCTCCAACAAATTATTTACTCTTACTTTCTCCTTTACTAAAAAGACAAAAAACGTGTGTAGTTCAACCTGCTTTTAAACAACTATTTGCTAAAGGATGACCCAGTAATTATCATTATAGTTAAATAACGGTCCATTTCCTGGCAAAGCTGAGCTATATGGACTGATGACCATATATATATTACAGATAAATTGTGACAGACTCTTGAGGAGAGAGAATTCAAAATGGAAATGCATAAAAATGAAGAAGCTTATGACACCCATTTTAGAAATAAGCTTGCAGAATTTTTGTGAAAATTTAACATATAAAAATATGCTTAATAATGTTATTAAAATATGTAAAATATATAATTTGCTTATGTGATAAACAGATAATGCTTATTCTTATTTTATATGGTTGATGCTAAAAAGTTTTGTTCATGATATATTTAGGTTCACTTTTACAACTAAAATATCACACAATACAGATGAAGTAGTATTTTTCTAAATCAATTTGTATCTGGTGGGGGATAAAGCACATTCAGTCAGAATATGATTTATGCCAATAGCAAATTCATTCCCGTCTAGGGTCCCCTCATACCTCAAAGACATGCTGAACTGTATTAATGGTCACAACTCTATTCATAGACCAAGGCCTGAACTTCCTTAAAGTACTGAAATACACTGAAAAACAATTCATCAGCAGAATTATACCGAACATTTTCAACAGAGTTTTTTCTACATGCAAATAAGCACAGTCTTTCTTTTCTATAGTCTTAATCATAGCAACACCACTAATATTAATATAGCAAATTAATATAGAACACAATGTTTAATAGATGTTGAAAATTTCATCTGTACTTAGACTGACATGGATAATATATTGATAATTTCCTTGTCTAACTCTGCTCCTCTCAAAGATTCCATAATTAAAAATGCATGTAAGAAATAATTACAAAGAAAACACCACCCATAGACGCGTTCCTAATCAAGAAATAATAGTTTTAAAACAATTGTATGTGCCGTTCCTTTTCACTTCCAGTTATATTTTCAACCTTCCAGCAATACATAAAGGATTTTATAATCTGATTAACATCTACCTTTTTATAAGTTAATCATCCTGCTCTTAAAATAGAACTTTCAAGTAATATAAATAATATCTGAAGAATAATTAAATACTAAATTTGTATCTATTTTATTTGGATGTACCACCTGCATCTTTAATTTATAATTTTCCTATTCTATAGCTATAAAATATATCACATTTGTCACACACAAAAATATTTTTAAAACAGCTTTTTTGGGAATATCAACTTCTGTTTGTGGACAGAGTATTTAATGAATTCTGATTTTTAGTGTCAAAAGAAATGCATATTTTTATTTGACTCAGTGATACCACCTCTTTCTTTGTGAATATGCAGTATTAAAATTAAAATTGTTTTAAAATCTTCTCAGAAATTATAGCACAATCTCATAAACCAGAAGCACAGAGATAGTACAACCATGGAGGGTTTTTTTACGAATGAAATTTGCTAACAGTTAGTTAGACTTACCTTCTTGTAGGCACACAGGTTTATCACTTGGCTTCCAGCTTAGGGAGCCATTAAAATGTCTCTCACAAAGCTTTTGGGATGGACCCTTAAGCCTGTATCCTTCTTGGCAATGAAATCGGACAACTGAACTTTCAAAGAAAACGCCTGTGCTGGGCATTTTATATCCATATTCGGGGAATCCAGGATCAGAACAAGCATGGAGTTCGTCAAAACCTACATCAACAAAGATGTAAAATATTTATGTTCAGTCAGACAGTTATATCCCATTCTTTCTATCTCTAGTATTTGCTAAACTGAGCTGAGATAGAAATTCCAAAACATAACTTGCATGGAGTATTTCCAAAGCTAATGGGTAGAGTCTGAAACAAGATATCTCAGTTGATTCCCAAGCATGTGTTTAGCTTGCCTTTTGCACACACACAATGCACATCAAATCTTTATAGCACCAAACAGTGCTTAATATTATTAGTATTTCTTATTTTAATTCTTTTAATTTTAACTCCTTGAACCATATGAAGAAGTCCATCCACATTGTAGGCAATATTTTTGGTAGTGATTTGCATCACCTTCTTTTTAGGACTGAACATCTGGTTCCAAATCACCCAGTTGGCCTCTATTCTAAAGTAGGACTATGATTCAGGTCTCCATGCTCCTAGTCTTGCACTTTAACCCCTATTCTACAGTAAATTGATTTCGAACAATAAAATACAAAATAGCAAATTAAAAACTTAGCAAACACAGACAATATAAAACCAGTAAGTTGATAAAGTGCAATGCTTTTCATAATAATCATGGAAATTTAGTTCATCATGACAATTTAGCCATTTCTGAGCTTGACTCTTGGTGACTTCATGGGGACTCTTAACACAGCCAGTTTGCCATTTTTTTTCTCCTGGAATGCTTTCTCTATTTCCACTCTAGGCAACTTCACTAGTATTCTCCAAGGGCTTTCCATTCAAATAGTAACCAGGTGTGATTCTGCCAAGCGTTTTGAAGTTAGCCAAGATAAGATGAGGAACCAAGAGTTTCTATCCATCCAGCTCAATCCAGCAAATTGGGCATACTGCAGATCCTGTCAGCCAGAGTATCAACTGGCGGGAACTAGAAGATGGTTTTTTTCTGATGTAATCCCTGCCTTATGGAATAGTCTCCCCACAGAGATTAGAATAGCCCTAACCTTGTTGTCCTTTTACAAGGATTAAAACTTAGTTATGTACCTAGGCCTAGGGCTCAGAATGTGTTAATGGTCTTGTTACTTGACTTTACTTTTAGTTAATTAATCATCATGGCTACTGCTTGTATTTATCTTTGTGAATGTTTTTACTGTTTTAATTTAATTGTTTTAATTATAATTTTAGAATTGTATACCACCCAGAGTCACTTGGTTGAGTTGAGCAGCTATTGAAATTAAATGAATGAATAAATGAATGATACAACCTGCAATCTAAGTGGACAAATAAAGGTCTGTTTTTAAAAATATTTTGGCCAGAAGTCATTACAGAACATGTTAAATGGCTTTTTATTTGCAACCAAAAACTTGTTAACTTCAAACAAATCTTAGATTTAGATAAAAAGAAACACTTCTGCTGAATACCTTAAAACTGTGTTAGGTTCCTGTGGAATGCCATTTTAAGACAGACTAGAGCAGGGTGTCAAACTTGATCATGTCGTATCGAGTTTGTATCATGTCATTTTTTTCCTTTGTGGAGCTGGGGTGGGCATGGCCTTCATATGACACATCTAGCCTACGGGCTGCCAGTTTGACACCCCTGGATTAGAGTATTTTCTGAGTTATAATTATGTTCATGACAAAGAATAAATGATGTATTAAAGTGTGGATCCCTTTCTTAGAGTGGGTACCACTGCTTCATTAAGCATGGAAATTTTTAGTATGTGCAGCAGTGAAAACAAACATCAAGATGACAATTAGAAAGAAAAAGGAAGAAGAAACAACTGATTTCTAAAGAAGTTGATCTTGGTCACTATCAACTCAGAGACTAGTTTGTCCCTCAAACCAATGTTCTCAAACAAACATATATAAGCCAAAACAAGTTTATATTTGTTATACTTAGATCTCAATCCATAAGAGAATCTAATAAAACGGAATATATATTGCAACTACCGGTAGCTTCCTGTCTAAATTCACTAAATATGATGCTATTACTATTGGCTGAGGTGGGACTTTTCCCTTTAAACTGCTGTCAGCTAGCCTTGAAGGAGAAATAACACAACCGCCAAAAGACAAAAGCTAAATGAAGATTACACTTCCCTCTTATAAAAATCTATTTGTCCCTAGCATTTGATTCCTGCCCCCCCAGGCTTCAGTTGTTTCCACCCAATACCTAAATGTACAGGTCAACTAGTTTTCTTTTAGCCTTTAAATATTTGGCCCTTTTGAAGAGAAATTTCTCTATATGGTGGTCCCAGTCTCAGATTTTATCTGAGTTAATGATTATGCTGTTTCAGATACATTAAGGTATGCAAGTCAGCCAGGACCCAATTTTTAAAATTGATTTAATTCAAATCAAATCAATATTGTGATGAATTATTTATTCATAAAGATGACATGCAAAAATTTACCAAATCACCAAATCAATTTGAAAACATTCAAAGAGAACATTTTATTGCATTGTGTTTGAATCAAATGTTTATACAGCCACTAGGCTTCACAAGTATTTTATGGATGTTTAAATTTTATTCAAATGTTATTATACTTATTCACAACCATCTTATGATCACAGAGTTACAAGAAGTATGTCATGGGGCACAATCATGGAAAGTATGCAAGACTTCACTTCCGTACAGTAGGAAAAAGAGATTGAGGAAGTATCTTTCAAACTGAGTCAATTATCGTTAAGGCCAATGCCAGATTTCATTTTCATGTATACAATTATTTATTTAGCAATTATGTCTTTATGAAACTTATTAAAATATATATAGCGTTGTTTATAAAGAAGTGTAATGCAAAATGAAAATAAGCATTCCAGAAAATGGGGCTATTAAACCTGAACATTTGCTGAATACCAAAACAATTTCGTAGCTGACATAGCAGGAGAGAGAAACCTAGATTTTTTTTAAAAAAATGAAATATGCAGTTTACTATTTTAATTATGTCTAGAAAAATCTGCACACTAAGCATAAATGTTTTCCATTCTGCATGCTTGTACATTTATTACTATGTTGGTATTACTGCATTATGAAACATTTCAAGCAGTCTGTATCACCATTGTTCAAATATGAAAACAGAAATGAAGCAGTTACTATTCATGTGGAAGACACCTTACAGAGAACCTTTTTAATTCCTACAGAACACATAGAGCAAATGATCTGGAGATATTTGCATATACATATATTGGAATATGTAACAGAATCCACCTGTAACTAGCAGGTGGTAAATAATGGTAGTACAAAGTATATGTCAGCACTAGAGTAAATGCAGTAATGTAGACCTCGAAACCTGACAGTATATTGGTAAGAGCAATATATTGTTATTAGCACTGATTATCACAATCCAGTGCATGTTCACTTTAGCTTTTCTTCAAATCTAATACTTGCAATCTAAGTTATATCAATTTATGACTTAAGCAGTATGATTTGCTATTTAACTTAGTACTATCACTGTGATCTGTCTGAATATTTGTAAATGCAGATCACAGACAACAAAGCCATGCTTCAACTTTTTAAAATATTTTTTATTACAACAAAATTTTACAAAGATTTTAAAAACTACAGAAGCATAAAAGAAATAGAAAAATATTATAAAAGGATGAAAAAAGTGAATAAGAAAAGAGATTAAAGAGAGACTTCTGCTCTTATAAACACAGCAATTATTTCCACTTCAACTCTTCTATATTGCATATTATAGTTTCCTTCTTTCTATAAACAAATATTTTAAATTAATAAATCCTGAAATCAGCAGTTTATTTCTATCCATTTTCAGCAAACACAAATGGTTAACATATAACAACTTGCTAATACAGGAAACTGGGGGCTTAAGATGAAATCAAGAGCAGAATTGACTATAGAAGGATTTAGCTTTCAATGATTTTCCTATGCACAATTAAGAGAAAGATTTAAAAAAGATAGATTTTAAAGATACCAGAAATAGAATGCAATGAAACAGAATGAATTATGTACAAACGATGAACATGTGATTGCTAAAATATATAAATAAAAATTATAGGAATCTTTATTCCTATAAAGGAAGTTAAAGAATATATGATGAAATGGCAAAGAATTTTGATTTCATATCCAAGTGGATCAATGGAAGAGAATGCTGTTAAAAAGTCAGAAATGCACATTATTTTACAATTTAAGAAGAACTTTTTGAAATATGCTATCAGGAGCAAAACCAATACTCAAGAACACTTTGCCAATGTGAGCCTAGGAATGAAGTCAGAAAGATCAGACTAGTAATTTCAAAGATAAAGAACAGACAAAATTAAAGACAAAAGGAGAACACAAGAGTCATTCCGAACTAGTATCTACTCTACATATACCCTAATCAAAGGAAGGACAGATCTTGCCTATAAAAGTAATAAAGTAAGTAATAAAGTAATAAAGATAACAAAACAGATAAATACATAACCATGCACTCACTGGGCAAGACAACCAATTCAAAAAGATTTATAACCACCAGACTGGGTCACCAAGGTACAGAACCTGCTGGAAGAGCTAAATTCCCACATCTTTTTAAAAAAGCTCAGCAGAACTGAGATTATATGAATCTCAGGGGGGATGCTCTTTCACAGAGAAAGCACATCTCTTGATCCCACAAGATAACCATTCCAGCCAGGGACTGGAATACCCCTATTTTTTCAGATGTTACAGGTTTGGAAGAAGCAATAAGAGGAAAACTATCTTAAAGATGCCCATTCCTAAGCCATTTAAGAATCCATACATTGAGTTGCTTCTTTAATCCCACTGGTAACCATGCACCTCAAAGAGGAGAAGAGTTACATGGACTATAATTGCCTACATTCTGGAATTAATAAGGGTACTATATTAGTCAAACAGGAGGTGATTAGGGTATGAGTCCCTTTAAGAGAGATCTCCCAATCCAGCAAAGTAAGCAATTGGCACACAAAATAAATTGGCATTGCATCTCAATGGTCTGCACTTTAAGATCTAAATTTTACACCAGTTCTGCCTGGTGCGATCCTATCCTTAAGATGTTTCTCAACCCTTATAAGGACTCAATTTGCCTTAAAAAG